GGGGGGGGGGGGGCCTTAAATGGGTTCGCCCTCCCTGGGGTGGGCGGAATTCCCTCGGGGGACGGACGGCCTCCTCGGAGGCGGGCCTCCCCGGCGACGGCCCTCCTCCTTTCAGGAGGACGTCGTTGATGACGCCGCCCGCCTGCGCGAGGGAGAAACGTAAATGTTTGGAGACGGGGACACCGCAGGGACAATGCCGATCCTGGCGTGCGCGTGCGCACCTCAGCTCCGAGCGAAGGCGGCAGCGTCAGGCTCGCGCGGCGGCGCTGATACCACTCCTCATACTCCGCACTAGAAGCGAAGTAGCCACCGACCTTGACGGAAGCCGTTGGCCCGAGCTCGGTCTGAACCTGGGCCCCCTCCGCGAAACAAAAGCTGATTGGCACCTTTGCGAGGCTCCGATGGAACACGTGGGGGTTGTCGAACCAGACGCCCTTTGTTGATCTCACAACCAAGAAAGCCGACTCGCCCTCGCTCTCATTGAAGTCGACCATGTAGCGCCTCTCTCGGCGCGCGTCCTGCAGAGCAGAGAGAATGGGGGCCGCCCGTGAGAGGGGTGAGGCAAGGCGCCTGCATTGGTCGGAAGCGCGAACAGCTATGTGCATGTGTGGGGTCTGAAATGAGAGGAGAGTGACGGGGGACAAAGCTCGGACGTTGAGCCTGCGGAGGGCGGCGTCACGAGGGAGCGGGCTAAGGTTCGTGTCGGGCGAGTGTTGCAGGCGACGAGGGCCAGAGAATAAAGAGAGGCCTTGCGGGCGAGGGCGAGGGCGAGGGCGAGGGCGGCGGTGTGTGTGTAGGAGGGGGGGGGGCTGCGGCGGCGGCAGTGTCGACGGCAGGGCGGCGAAGGCATCGGTGGCGGCGGTGAAGGCTGCGGCGGCACATTGCGCGGCCGTGGCGGCGGCACAACGGCGGCGGTGGCCCGGAAGTGGCAGCAACGAAGCGGCGGTGGGCGAATCGTCGTTCATAGCCTGGCCGCAGTAGTCAGGCACGCACGGCGACGCGTCGTTCATTGCCTGGCCGCAGTACATGTCGTTCATTGTCTGGCCGCAGTAGTCACACAGGCACGCACGGGCGACGGTGAAGTGGGCTGTCGGCATGCCGGAGATGGCGACGCGGGCCTGCGCGCGAACGAAAAGGGCTGTGGAGGCAGGCGGGAAGGCGGGCGGGCAGAGGGGAGAAGACGATCTGGAGGGGGGAAAGAGGGGGGTGGGTGGAGGGAGGGGCGAGGGCGCTGCGGCCGGCACCTTCTCCGGACACGGCCCGCCGCCCTTCATGAGAGCTGAGAGCCCGTCCTCGATGCGGGGACGAGCCCGAAGAGCGCCGCGTAGGGCTTCTCGCGCACACATGGCCGGGTCGAACGCTGGGTCGACCGGAGCGGCGATGACGGCGGTCGGGTCGATGTCGAGGACGGGCCGAGACGTGACAGTGACAGCGCGCGAACGCCCTGTGCCGCCGGGGAGCCGGTGCGTCATTCAAGTGCTTGAATGGGAGGCACCCACGGGGCGGTAACGCAGCGGCGCACCGCACTCTCGTCCGCGATGTCCGTGTAGCACTCGGTGGTCGCCTGCGACAAGCCGCCGCGGTGCGGTTGTAGGCCTTCGAGCAGGTACGCGCAGTCGGTACGCCGACCTCGTACTGCGAGGGAAGCGGCAGCGACCGAGGAGGCGATGGTGAAGTGGGCTGCCGGCATGCCGGAGATGGCGACGCGGGCCTGCGCGAGATCGAAAAGAACTGTGGAGGCAGGCGGGAAGGCAGGCGGGCGGAGGGGGGAAGACGATCTGGAGGGGGGAAAGGGGGGGTTGGGGGAAGGAAGCGCCAAGGCCCCTCCGCCCGGAACCTTTTCGGAAAACGGCCCGCCGCCTTTAAGAAAACTTGAGGGGTGGGTATACTTTATAAAACCTTGAAACCTATTGCCGGGTGGCTGTTTTGGGGCACCCCTGGAC